CTTGTGCTGTCTTTGTATGGCGGGAACCCGCCAATTCGTCTCGGTTGCTGTTGAGGAACTTAAATTACATCACGCTGATGGGCAGGTACAATCATGGATACGGTTGCCCCAATATGGGAGCTTCACATTACCACAGTTGAAACCCGATTATGTAACGCAAGACGTAAATTCGCCATCATCGACACTATTGACCAATTATTGGTGTTTCTTGATGTATGCATGTGCCTACCTAATCAGGGCGGGCAAATTGTCAACAGGGTCCTAATGACTCAGAGGACGTCAGCCGGGCTTTTGATAGAAATTTTTTTGACTGATCCAACATGATCCAACTCCGCCTTTGCTTCTGCGCCTGGGCGTGGTTTTTGTTTTATTTGTCTCGGGCTCAACGCCTCCAGCTCGTAGTGTGATTTGAGCCGTCTGCTCCGTTTACGAGCATGACAGTCCTTTGGGCTTTAGGGGACAAGTCTCTTCCATTGCTCGACTACTGCTTGGCTGCAAGAAGTGTGGTCAAATGCTTCGATGTGCCTAGGCCTACAGCCAGGTCATCTTCAACGATGAGCACAAAGACTTGCTCATGCAGGTTCCTACAGGCCCACTGCAGAACAGCTGCTTACTTAGTAGCTGGCCTAAGGGACCACTTTAATGTGACCAGCGACACCCTTCTTCGAAAGTTTGCAGGCTGTGAGGTGTGATGCTACCCTCATTCGTCTATTCTGGATGCGCGGTTGGTGGCCGAAATGGCAATATCGTGCAATCATCAACGCAATCAGAATCATCGTCATCAGAACAACAGTGCGGAGATGGCGGCACTGGTGAGCTTGTAGGGGTGATGATGGGAATGGGGTGAGGCTGAGAAAAAACAGCGATTGTGATGATACGGCTGCTGATGCTGATGATGGTGAGGACGATGGTGACAGCGATGTCGAGACGTTGTCGGTAAACTGTGGCCGGGGCTTTTGGCTGTCGCTGCTGCTGAGGTTGCTGTGTTGTTGTTGTTGTTGTTGCTGCTGCTGTTGCTACTGCTTCGATGGTGAGGTCGGACGATGACGACGACACGGGCAAGGCTCAGGCTACAGGTGGAATGGTGTCAAGCCGCCGTCACTCACTCCAACAGATTTTCCAACAATCTGCGCTCTCCCATGTGCCGGAGCAAGCTCGAGGCGAAGCACGACCTGGAGTACATGCATGCATTCGCAGAGGTGCCGATAACGTTTTGCTTTTGTTTGCAGCCCATGGCTTCAGGACTCTGCATTGCTGAACCCTCACAAGTTGGAAGCTTGATGTGCGCAAACCCAAAAAACGGCTCGGGCCTTAGGAAGGGTACCCGAAATTATGGTCGCATTCGGGCCCCCGTGTGCCCGTGCCTGAGCTGTTTTCCCATCGGAAAAGGCATTGGGCCGGAGTGTCGCTCACAAATCAATCCCTGTACCAAGTAAGCGTCATGTTAACATCCCTCGAGCTGACACACTGCCTAGGGCCTGTATTGCTACTGAAGATGTTTCAAGGTTCGGATTTGGGGTATCTCGGAGCACAAAGTGATGAAGCTCTGCGACAAAGTGAGGAAGCTGTGCACCTTCATGTCCTCTTCTGCCGTTTCGGCCTCACAGATATGAGCCCGCCACAAAGATCGTTTCCATCGGATTAACAAAGTGGTTCTCAACAGGCCAGGCCTTTTCAGGTTTCACCAGGAGACCTGCAACGATTTGAATGTCTTCCTGCTTGCTGTCAAGGTCGGAAGTACAAACTGTGCACCACAATGAGCAGCATAACATGAACTTCAGCATCTTCGGCCACGAAAACACTCAGCAAAACATACTACTTTATCACTTTTACCATTACTACCATCATGTCCACTGTTGTTGCTGCTGCTCCTATGTCAAACTGCAGATTGTGACATGTCCGAGACCTGATCACACGTGGCCGTGCACCCTCAATCCTAAAAGCCCCAGTTGACAGGCGCAGCATGGCCGCAAGCTCTGCTACGGAGTCGGAGACAGGGACAAAGTCAGATGTAATGTGTACTACACCCTCGACCATAAAGCCAATACCCCCAAACCCTCAACCCTGAACTCCTAAGCTTGCAAACGGTTGCTCGTTGCTCGGAATGGAAAACAGTTAGCACCACTGACGTTTTGGCTGATCGACATGATGGTCATCTTCATTCATTTTCATTATTTGCTATTGCTATTGTCATTCTTATTCTGTTTGACATTAAAATTGTTGATCTTATTCTTGCTACTGCCACTATGTTGGGGACCGCGTGGGAGCACGTCAAACAAGCAAAAAACGCAGTCTCACAGTGTCCCGTTTCGTAGTATCATTTCTGTTGCTATTGCTATTATTGTAATTCTTAAAGGTATTGTTGTTGCTCTGTACCATCATTATTACTGTTGCTAGTGTTGTTGTTGTTGTCGTTGTCGTCGTTGTGGTTGCTGTTGTTGTTGCTGTTGTTGTTGTTGTTGTTGCTGTTGCTATCGCTGTTGTTGTTGTTGTTGCTGTTGCTGTTGTTGTTGTTGTTGTTGTTGTTGTTGTTGTTGTTATTGTGAATATTAATATAAATATAGTGATATGATTATTCTTACTTTTGATATGTTTCTTGTTGTTGGTATTCTTCGTACTATTAATGGTAGTCTTGCTGTTGTTGTTCAACTGGTATTGTGTTGTGAGTAGTATTACTTTTATTCGTAATAGTCAAGTTAAGACTATTCCCATTAGAAATTAGTAGTAGGGGCTGTAGTCTTATTGTTCGTCTTCGTCATCGTCACCACCATCGTGGCCGTCAATGTCAACATCGACATCAACATCTGCATCAATGTCAATGTCATCATCCACAACAGCAGCAACATTATCACAACCACCATTCTAGTACTGAATCATTAACATCATCACCGGAAACAAGCCCGTGCACGGCACCGCCACAAATGCACGGTAGCGACTCAACCCTGTCAATGACACCACATGTCCCGCCTCTTGCACGCGCATCTCCGCAGCCTGTGCTCTCAAGATGCGATGGTGGAACAGAGTAGTCTGTAGAACGGCTCTTGTTTCGGAGCCTCTGCGAGTCGAGATGCTCTCATGCCAATTCTTGTCAATGCCGGTTTGAACGTGCCTCCAACTCGGCCCAATTGAAGAGCTGGGTCGCGAACACGTGATGGGCCTTCCGAAGTGTGGGTAAAGTGCTTGGGGCGCAGCGTTACCCATGTTCACGCCTCCATCTCATCGGGGACTTCGAAGTCGAAGAAGAGCTGCATGCCGCTGAAGAGGCTGATGGTGCCAGGATCCGCAGGGGTTGAGACGTTTCGAGCAGAGCTGGAAAAGTTTATAGACAGCCAGTCACATCATCACCTGATAAGTTTCGAGCACAGTGTGCATGCATACATCCATGTGGCCGGCGATGGCATGGATATGGATGCATCGGTAATTCGCTGTATTGCATATGTATGGGTGAATCAACGCTAGTAACAGATACCAATAACAAACACATTCCATGTACAGGTACATGGATACAACAAACTAATCTCATTAGCTTTCGTCATGTCTGAGGCATGGAAACCACACACTAGACAAGGGACTGCACATATACACTGCGCCAGTGTTGCAACAAGTGGGCCGGGGACAATATATGAATATATACATAGACATGGGGCTCGGTTGGACAAAAATGCGGTTTATATATATATATATAGTATTGTGTATGCAGACGCATATGTTAAAGCGTACATATACATATGTATATATTTCTTTTCTACGTACATTGCCAGGTACCTGCTGGATTTATACCTGATGGTAGGGCTCACCCACTATTAAATTAACAGTATCCCGAATATCAAGCTTGTGTTGATATGTGCACTTGCAATCGACATCATTCGGTGGCAAATATAGTTTACATGTGTATAAATGTATAAATCAGTAGCACACGCATGTTTAGAAGGCGTACATCTAGAATCGTGCTAGGTCTGATGGAGTCCGGTTACCCACTTTCCATTACGATCATCTACTTGCACTAATAAAATTAACACCGCCACTGGAGACAGCCCACGTGCTAAGCTGCTATAGGTGGGTGTCCACATAGTCGTCAGCCTCGAGTTGCCACTGGATCCGTTGGATACTCCGACATGCCCATGATCATAACAATGCCCGGACCCTAGAATTTCCTGCGGTCTCTGATTTTTTCCCCCGGCTCGAATCCCAGGATCTGGAGACTGATGCTCCGCATCACAGCCAGCAGGAGGAGACAGCCCTGCAGTCCGCGGACAGGGCTCGTGTGTTCGGGTTCTCGCCGGCAGAGCATAGAGTCTCTTGACCGTCATAGCACTATTTTTGCATCTTGAAGAGTCGGGGTGGAAATGTCAATAGATATCCTACAATTAGGGAGTCCGGGCTGGAGGGTGCTACAGCCTCTAGACCTTGTATTAACAAATAAGTGTGATATGGTCGGAATAATTTTCGGAATAATAACCATGGTCACACATGTATATATATATATATATGTATGTATATACACATATGTACATGTCTGTGTACTGTAGGGTGCATAGGGCTTGAATATGTATATATATATATATACGTAGCCAAGGAGATTTATTCGAGAAGCATGACGATGTGATGTGAGTTGAATAGGTCTGATCATGCAGATTCCACTAGTTGACCTGTGATAGGTGTTTGGGAATGGAAGTATATTCACAAATAAGCACATACACGAATTTAGTGTACGTTTGGATCGCCCAACACATGCGAGGGTTGTGCACACCAGCAATTCCTACGAACCATAGCTGCGCCACCACCTTTCCGACACATTTCATACAGCACTCAAGGCATCGCAAGCCCTGGATCCTGATGGGCAAGCAGGGCCTGCAGCAGAGCATGCACTTGATGCAGAGGCGGCTGAGCCTGATCAAACGTCGTTTGTAGCCCAAGAGCCCAGCCTTAACTTTTATTGCATCGAAACCTTATCAACAGCTGCATGAGCCATGCACCTGAGACGTATCTTGCATTTCGAAATCACGAGGATCGGAAACCGTTGATGAAGAGAAAGTTGAGAGAAGTCCCCCTCCCGGAGTTCATGGATGTACACTCTGTATTCCAGCGCTACGACTACGTCTCAGCCGCTCAAGATGTTGTCCGTACGAGTGTGAGGGAGGCGAAGGCTGGGCCAGCAGCTGAGAAGGCACCGGCCAAGGGGCCGAAGCGCAACTCTCGCCTGCACAAGCTTGTCAAGACAGGGCATGGTGCGGATGCCCCCAGCAAGGTCAAGGATGCAAGCAAGGTGAAGGCAGCAAGTGCCAGGAAGAAGAGTGAGCCCCCGAGCAAGCCCCAGGATGCAGTCCGCAGGGGCAAGGAGGTTGAGAAGTCTCATGAGATCATGACGTCCTTGCAAAGTTATGCTCTCCCGGGCCTCACTTGTCCTGATCGGGAGTCTGTGTGTAGCTCTGCTACGTCTGTGCTTGTAGAATGCTTGCGTAAGAAGTCGCACTCTCAGGTGGCACCACTCCAAACTGCTGGCTGCATGGATCAAGACTGCAACTGGATTGCACAACGTTAATGGGTAGCATCGGGAATTATATACAAGGCTAGACTAATATGTACATGCTATACAAACCCTTGAGCTCCAGCCCTTCGTGTATCGTACGATGTACTGCACATGAAGAAGCAATGAAACGCCCCGTGCTAAGTCATAATAGCCTCGTTCATGTAGTGACATTAACCGTTGCTCCCATCGCGATGCTAAGGCAACTGCGCCCGAGCCGGCTGGCATTGCTGCCTGATGATGATCACCAGCTGTTGCTTTCAAAGCTTTCAGCCGTTAGAGCATCTGCACCAGTACAGTGCACACGTTCTACAGGTTTCCAATTCTACATAGTTGCGTGTGGGTACCTGGCCTTGTTTCTCAAATAGAGGCGACGTCGCTGCAGCAAGAGTGCTGCACTTACGCGGTCATCGGATGAAGCCACAGGTGCAAACAAGACCTGGAGCACAGATAAAATGCTACAGTAGTGGCATTGCAATCTATCGTGGCTTCGACGACTTTTGAATAGATATTCGAGATGCAGATACCCTCTTCCTGCGCAGGTGTCGTGGCAGCTGAGCACCCGTCGCCAGGGCGTCGTCGTGCAGGTGCTCCCGGCCTGCGTGCATGCAGGTGTTGCGCAGGTGAAGAGATGTAACTGCATGTGTAGCTGGGAAGGTATCGTAGGCTTTGCAGCGACGATCTAGCATGTTGCCGCTGCGTGCTGATCTACTTGCAATGACCATCGCGCTTAAAAACTACGCGGGGACTGTGAGTCTGATTTCATGATCGTGTACAGGCTCACGATCTCCCGTAGCCGGCCCATGAAGCCTCAAAACAAGGGGCACGGCAAGACTACGAGTCCCCAAGGCAAAGACCTGGAAAACTGTATAGAGCCTTCCAACGAAGCCTCCCAACGCCCCCCAATGCAGGCAATGCTACTAGCAAGATCTCGGGTTGTGTTGCCTCGGGTTTAGGGTTCCAGAATGTTCCGGCACGGAACTGTTTCACCGCAGGCGAACGGCAATACAGTCAAGCGTTGCCATCCCACAGCGCACATCTGCACCCCTGCTCCTGAAAGATATCGAAAAGCTTCTGGACCACCTCTTCCTTTACGAGTTTGGGATCTATGCCCCGGGCTTGCATCTCCTTCTTCCATGGTCCCACCAGCATGTTTGTCACATGCCTCTTAACTTTCCCATTATGGGGTGGCAAGTTCAACGCAGCTTCGACAATCTCCTCGTCTTGCAAGCATGCCAGATATGCAGAATCCTCTGCAAGCTTCCTTGTGGGCCTCGGCTCGCCCCAGAACGTTCGGTTGTAGAACGAAGGCGTAATGACCTTGGCAATGTACATCCTCTGTCGAGGCTGCTGAATCTGCTCCACCTTAATGTAGATGTCAACAGCGTCCAGCTGCAAGTACCGGTGGAAGAAGTGCTTCAGCATCAGGTAAGGGGTCGGGTGAGCCCGCGACAATGCGGGATTCAGATTCTGCATGCCAATTTCTTTCATGATGCACTCCGGCACCGTCAGCAGTCTGCTCCTCTCTTCCGGCCGCAAGTCTCTGAATCCTCGCTTTGCCACGCTGTCCCCTGCTATGCCAATTTCTGAAGGATCTTCGTGTTCGTTTTCATCCTTGACCCATGCAGAGCCAATTGCATCAGCTGACGGATCGTCCTCATGCTTGGCCCATGCTGACACATCCTCCTGCTTTACTTCGCCTGGAGGCAGCTCCTTCTTGGTGCTTTTGGCCTGCACTTTACATGATGGCGAAAACGTCTAAACCCAAGACCGCGACATGCCAGGCTTCCATCAGAGTCATCAGAGAGCAAGTCCTACGCTGCAACGGCGGCCTTCGGTGGTGGGATCTCCTCCTGGCGCACACACACACACACAGAGGCACCCAACGCAAGCACAAATCAAGTGAGGACAGACAATAAGAACAGAGCAGCTGGCAGGCTCATGCAACCACGCGCCGAAGTGGGAACAAGGGTTCCAGCCCATGTGTGAGACTTGCAGAAGCCTGCTTCGGTGTCTGCCAACGTCCAGATGCTTCACGTCGGAACCTTTCCTGCACATAAGATCACATAAAACCGCCTAGAATAAAACCATATAAAACCTCCACATTCATTGTTACTGTACCATCACGGACGGGGCAACTCTTACGCTACAACTGCGGCCTTCAGTTCAGCAGTGCTGAAACTTCTCTTCGGATTCCCCAGCTTTGGCTGCGAGAGTTCCTCCTGATGCGCGCGCAAATCAAGCAGGATGATTGAAACACGTGCCGAAGTCGGAGCAATCTCAAGGCTTCCAGCTCATGTGTGTGACTTGCAGAAGCCTGCTTCGGTGTCTGCAGACGTCCACTTTCCTGCACACAAAGAGAACCTCCACGTTCATTGCTACTGTACCATCACAAAACAACTCTTACGCTGCAACGGCGGCCTTCCAGTCGGCAGTTCTGAAGCTTACCTGGGGTTGGTCGCGCGCGCACACAGAGGCACCCAACACGAACACAAATCAACCACAAGCAGACAAACAACAGAGCAACGAAGCAACTCACAGGCTCATGTCTGTGCGTGCGCCTGCTTCTGCGTCTGCACTCCAGGTGGCGTCTGAGCCATGGATCACATTGGATCACTAGTCATTGGCACGTGATTGGGCCACAAAGCTTTGGTCAAATGCATCGAAGGCTGTGAACAAGGGCCCTGGAGGTCTCGTCTGGTCTGCGAGACTAAGCAGCTCGACACTGATCAAGGAAACCACCGCGGCCAAAACGGCCGCGACTATCCGTGCTGCATGGAGCGAAGCAGAAGACAAGACTCCCAGGGCCTGGTAGCTTCTGCCGCAAAGACAGCCTCCCCCCGGAACAGATTCTCTCGGGTGTACATACTTTGAAGGAAACATCTCGTCCGATGGCGACGGCGCAACGCACTACAGGGATGTGCAGCTTCGGTTCAAGGCCTTGAACTCGCGAGATTGAATTCGGAACATGGTCCTTCGAAGTCCGTGCAAAAGGGGAAATTTTAAGTCGCCCAGAGCCCCAGGCTACTACAACCGGGCCTTGCCGACGGCGCTCCTGAATGTTCGAGGTCCAATGCCCGCGATGTGCCCGTGACACGCTCCGCCTGCACACTCTTTGCAGTAAAGCCGTCGAGATACAAATCTCTGCATTTCAGTCGCGCGTGTTTGGCAGTCACCCCCCCAACCACCCGTCACTCATCCAGTCCATCCCACGCATCCTCGCGCTGTCTCTTTCCCCCGCCCCGCCCTTGCTTCCCAGTAGCCTGCGAATGTTCAAAGCCGCAGACGACGCCGAGTCATTCCGGTGGTCATATCGGTGCCCAAGCGTATAAGACAAGCCCCTTTCAGAGATCCTTCGATGAACTGCAGCGCGGCGCCTGCTTGCAACTTCACGTCCTCGCCAACCTTGGCATCAACACCGGAGGTCCCCCAAAACAAACACTTTCTCCGATGCGGTCTGAGCTCAGCCTGTCTGCTGGCCCTGCAGGCCGAATGCCTCTGTCATGGACTTGGGACCGTGCCTGCGAGACGGTCAAGTGCTGCATGGCCGAAAGCCTCATTTCCCAAGTGAGGTTGTTCGTGGAGAATCTCAAAGGACACGGCATGCTACTACGTTCGGTGGCGGCCTGCCGTTGCATATCTGCCACATCCTCGGGATCCTGCAGCATGCGGCACGGATCCAGATTCGATTTCAGACTTAGACCACAGCACCGTTTGGCAAACACAGGGCACCGCCGAATATCCTTCAAAGGGTCCGAGTTCAACGTTGAAGGAAGCCAAGGCGACGGTGAATGAGCGGCAAGACCTCGAAATGGTGGCTTCTTGGTGAAAGGCTGCCAGCTGAATGGCTTTGGGATCCCGATCCCGCACTTGCTGTTGGCTATCTGGAAATCTCGCCCTTCAAAGAAGCGCCAAAATTGGAAATCGTGCTGTTGACGCGATCTGTGTTCCGGTCGTCATGCTTACACCTTCTGCTTACAAAAGTTTAAATGAGCGGGTTCGCGGTTCCCAGACCTAGGTTCTGCCTGCTTCAGGGCTTCTGTAGGGTTTGCAAGCCTTGATGACCGTGTCAGCCAGTCAACGTGTCGAGAGCACTCAAATTACAACATATAGAGCCGCAAAGAAGTGTAAGTATATAGGTATAGGTGCAAATATGGATATAGACTATAGATATGAGGGCTAGGCCTGCTACTGATCAAAGCTTCAGGGAGTCACGGCCAGTTGGTGGTTCTGAGAGCTCACGCCATAAATTGTCAAACCTGCGATTCACGAGAGGTACCTGGGATAGGGGGCCACCCCACTAAATCCAGGAAACTCGCCAGACAAAAATTCGCGAGCGCCACTAAACGAGAGAAAAGTCATTAGACACCCTTCGCGAGTGCGGGGACTACCCCACTAAACAAGAGGAAAGTCGAAAGAAAAAATCGCGAGCACTGCCTAAGGGGCTACCCCACGGAAGAAGAAGGGTCCATTGATGTTGATTCATTCTGTGTGGAAGTCCCAGGACCGGGCCCCCCATTGTGTATTCATCACCTACGAAAGATGTGGCTGCTCCTTCTGTCTGCTTTTCAGGGCCTTTGCATGATTGTAGAACATGGGTAGGTTACATATTGCAGATACAGAGGGGGGTGAGGTGGGGGAGTGAGTGCAGGGAGTTAGTGCGGGGTGTGAGTGCGGGGAGTCAGCCCGGGGAGTGAGTGAGGGGAGTGAGTGAAGGGAGTGAGTGAGGGGAGCAAGTGAGGGGAGCATCCCATTGAATCCCGAAAACTTTATTGTTAATGCCAATATACAGCCCTTATGTAGGATCCATACACTGGCCGATCCTAGGCCGCGGCCCTTTCACAGTGCCCGCATGCAGAAATGGGCCGTGTGAGAGGGTCCATTTCCTTGCCTCTAGCCAATCCTAGGCACACGGGCCCTTTCACAGTGCCCTTATGCGGAAATAGGTCCTGTCACAGTGCCTTTTCCAGCTCCTGAACAGTCTCTCGTGTTGCCAATTCTTTTTCGGGGTCGGCGGCACCAGGCTTCTGCCTGCGCTGCCCACCCCTGGGCGGGGCCCCTGGAATTCGGCAGTTTGAATTGGGTAGCGCACTGTGCCCCTTACCAACATGCAAAGTCGCAGCATGCCCTATTTTATGGTTGCTGCATGGTTACCAAACGAAACTTCTTCGACGACCCAGCAGTTTTAGACAGCACTTGCCTGTCCCAAAGGTGCCAAAGTTGCTCGCTGATTCATCAAGCTAAGCATGTGGCAAACGGCAATGCCCATCTAGCTGATCATGGCACGCATCCAGCCGTTCCCGATTAAAATGCTCACCTGGGCATTGGGCATCTAATTGTACGTTGGTTGTAGGCATGCGCTCGCGCCTGCGCGTATGTGGAGCTCGAGATGGCACGCAGCCGCCCGCGCGGGCACCACAGTGCCCGGAATCGCATCTACCATCTTCGCCAATCGGCACGTGCGTCCATGCCAGGAGCCAGAATTTCCTGCACTCTGAGGCTCAAGCACAAATGACGGACATGGCCACCACAGGCTCTTGACCTTTGCATCCGAACGAATGCAACAGCTCCCCTACGGCCTGAAGCTTTGCAAACCTTTCCAAGGCCACAGTCGGCACCTGAGGCGAGAACCAGATATTGGAGAAGCGTCGGCGGCAGCTCCTGCACAGGTTTTCGTTTTTTGCGAAGCCTGCGAAAAGAAGCAAAGTGCATAGGTTTTGAAAGATGCGAGCCCTGGGGGGGACGGCGTTTGGAGGGAAATCGTGCCTTTTGAGATTGAAGGGAGCAGATAGTCGGAGCTTCCATACCCCTTTGGATGTAGGCGGGGGGGACGGCGTTTGGAGGGAAATCGTGCCTTTTGAGATTGAAGGGAGCAGATAGTCGGAGCTTCCATACCCCTTTGGATGTAGGCCGCCCTGCCCGCTTTCCATCGAGGTCGGCCCCTTCATGGCCTGCCCTCCCTGCCGCGCCGCCTTCTGCGTCCGTCCTTTACGTGCTGAAATTCCCACAACCAAGCCAAAGCCGCTTGCCTTGCTGATGGATGCCCTGCCGAACTACAGAGATGCGGAAGTCTGGATAATAAGTGGTAGTATCCCTCCCTAAACCCTAAACCCTAAACCCTGTACTGAAATGGCGGTCTCAGAAAACAGGGGACCCTACTGAAAAAGGCCTTCTTCAGCAGGATCCTGATTATCACGACCCATACCCCTCAATTTCAGTAAAGTCCGGGGACCTCCCATATCTCGTCGCGCTGGAAGGAAAACAATCGGGGCCTTTGGAGGGCGAGTTTGTTGAGTTCTCGGATTTTGGTGCTTTGGGGCTCAGGGCCTTGGGGCTTTGGCGGTTTGAAGCTTAGGGCTTGCAGTACAGTGTGGGTTCGCGATTTGGGGGAGTAAGGCACTCGAAGTCGAAAAGCTGAAACCCCTTGATGCCGAGGAGTTGCGTTGGGTTCTGAGTTGGAGAGGCGCCCGTCATATGAGGTACGATCAGCAATAGAGCAAGCAGGGCCCGATTTTGCTGTAGTAGCCAATATCGGTAATTCAGGTTTGTAGACTCTACGTTACCTCAAGGCCCTAAACTGCAGGACTTGTTGTTTTCTGCAAATGATGTCCTCGAAGCGCAACAGTGTTTGCTAACCCCGCTTGATGACTATGGGTAGTGTGGATGGCTACCTCCGGACAATTTAAGAAGCCGAAGCCTCGAGCTCTACACCCCTACATGCTAGACTGCGAGACCCCAGGTTGTCATCAGAGTTGTTTGTGTCCGTGCTGTCCTTGGCTCGCATGCTTCGTTTCCGTGTCTGTCGGGGTGGTCCAGGAAGCCGACATGGCAAAGGAAGGAATGGAGCAACTCTTGCCCTCTAATCCTAAGACCGGAACTGTTCACCTTCGGAGTAAGACCGATGGAATATCGAGGTTCCTGCTTGGTCGGCTTTCTGGTGTCAAGGATTTAAGGTTTAAGGCTTAAGGTTGGTGGGCGACTGGGACCCCAAGAATAAGAGCTCAGGTACAGTACTGAGTTGTTTTTGTTTGGAGGGGGATCTTGTCCGATACTGGGGTAGTGCTTCTTTCCTCCTTTCCTTCTTCCAGCTTTTGGGGTTCACTATTGTTGCCACATCTGGCCAACGGAACCCCAGGTCACAACTCATCCATCGCCGCGAATGGCAGCCAAAGCGTTGGCAGTTGCTTGGTGCTGCACGTTCTTCAGCGGACCCTGCACATCACTGCTGTCGCCGCCACAAAAACCATGACCCCAGGTCACCACCGATCCGTCACCAAGGATGGCAGCAAAAGCGGAGTCACAGGATTGGATCTGCTGCACATTCTTCAGCCGACCCTGCACATCACTATCGTCACAATAATGGCCCCAGCTCACGCCGCAAAAGCAGTGGATGTTGCCTGGATCTGCTGCACATTCTTGAGCTCTCCCTCCACAGCACTGCTGTCACCACCAAAGCTAACATGACCCCAAGTCACAACGGATCCGTCGCCAAGAATGGCAGCAAAAGCGTACCCAGACGCTTGGATCTGCTGCACGTTCTTCAGCTAACCCTGCACAGCAGTACTGTCACCCTCGCAAAGAGCATGACCGCGGGTCACCACCGATCCATCACAAAGGATGGCAGCAAAAGCTTCGCTCGAGGATTGGATCTGCTGCACGTTCTTCAGCTGACCCTGCACAGCACTGCTGTCACCCCCGCAATTAGCATCACCCCAGCTCACCACCGATCCGTCACCAAGGATGGCAGCAAAAGCTTCGCTGGAAGCTTGGATCTGCTGCACGTTCTGCAGCTGACACTGCACAGCACTGCCGTCACCACCAAGGCTAGCATGACCCCAGCTCTCAACGGTTCCATCGCCGACAATGGCAGCAACAGTATTGGCAGTACCATTCTGAATCCAGGCAGCGTAGATCGGCGTAGATGCATCCAGCACCCTGCCAGTGGAGTCTAGCAGTCTCCCTCTTGTCACTCCGAGGGCGGTCTGCCCTAGTCGATGCAAAGTTCCCACTGTCTCATCCAAGGCTGCTTGCACAGTGCATCTCCTGCCACTCAGCAGTGCAACTTCCACAGTGATCGACATGCCCTCGCAGAGAATCAAGACCCCTTCGAAGTCACCATTGAACCCAAACAAGGAGCCAAGCGTGGTTTGAGAAAGCTTTGTCGGTTGCGATTGTACCAGAGCAGATATTCGTGATTGCTGTTGTATGGTTTGTGGAGAAACAGGCTTCTGATTGTGCGCACTGTTCTGCTTCTTCTAGTTATGACACGTTCTGGTTCCTGCGAGCGGTGTGATGATGCCGGTCAGTATGGTAGGTTGCCAAGTCTATTGATTCTCAAGGGTGGTAAGCATCATCATCACTATAACTATGATGGTACACAAGAGCTCACATAGCTGCCATAGCTCCGAATGAACTCTGAATGCCCTGACTGAGGGCTGTTCGAAGCTTGCAGATTGTCGCTCCGCTCCACCAGACGGGTCACCTCTGATGGCTGTAGCAGGTATGCAAGCCACTGCCCAACGTTTGAAGGGGTCCGAGTTCAACACTCGCAAGGCCCCGCCACGGCAAGACCTCGAAAAATACGGCGTGCGGCATCGAATCCCGTAAGTTGCACGGGTGTTGTGGGATCCGAGCCTCG